GGGCGTGGGTGCCGGGAGTGCTCCCATGCCCATCTGGGGAGTTGTGCATTATCTGCTCAGCTCCAGTCTGGGCTACTCTGAGAGTGTGAGTATGGATGTTTGCCTGTCTTGGATCTGGTCTGTGTGAAAGCGAAAGCTACTTTGATTTTCTGTTTGCTCGTCTGGTTAAAACCTTTGATTTGCTGAAGGCTGAACCTGTGATGGTCTGCAAAAGCCTCAAGCAGTGCTGTTGAGTTAGTTTTCTCAGAGACGTTTGCTCTCTATCACGGGAGGAATCAGCCCACTTAGTAAAAATTTCTGTCTATGTTTGTATACTAGGGACTTTGGTTTGCTCTGTGATTTTGCTGTTAGGTTGAAATTTTGGGATTCTGGGGTAGATTTAAAGGTATTTGTGGCTTTTCTTGTCTCTTTTGGCTGGCTGGGACTTTCAGGGGCTCCGCAGGGAGGAGAGATTTTACCCACCCTGCCCCTGCCTATGCTGATTAAGGATCTTTTCTTTAAGGAGACCCTCTAGGCTTTTAGTAAATTTCCCTGCACCCTTTGTCTGTCTCTTGCCACTGATCATCATGGGGTTGGGACAAAGTAAACCCACTGTTCTCAATTGCATGTTGGAAAATTTTGAAAGGGGTTTTATTGAGGACTATGGTATTAAAACGAACCCCAAAACACTGAGGAAATTCTGTGAATTAGAATGGTCAGCCTTTGGGGTCAGCTTGCCCCTGGAAGGCTCTTTAGATGTAGGACTGGTCAGGGATGTCTGGAATGTAGTCACGACAGACCCTGGACACCCAGATCAGTTCCCTTACATAGACAGCTGGTTAGGAATTACTCAAACCTTGCTGCCTTGGGTCTGGTTCTGTAAGGTTTTTTTTTTTTTAAGTATATTTTTTATTGATTTTTTACAGAGAGGGAGAGAGAGAGTTAGAAACATCGATGAGACAGAAACATCAATCAGCTGCCTCCTGCACACCCCCTACTGGAGATGTGCCCGCAACCAAGGTACATGCCCTTGACCGGAATCCAACCTGGGACCCTTCAGTCTGCAAGCTGACACTCTATCCACCGAGCTAAACTGGCTAGGGCTGTAAGGTTTTAGTAGTAGGAGAAAAACAGGTCTCTCAGAAGGGAACCCAACCCCTTGTTCTGCCAGGATCCCCTGAGGAAGTCCCGCTAGTTTTACCATCTCCATATATGCCACAGGCAGCACCAAGTGCTTCCCCAGCTGGTCTGAAAGGTCCAGAAACACCGCCCCCTTCTGTTTCTCCCCAACCAGGCTCTCCAGAGCCAGTTGGGCGGCGCTTGTGTTCAGCCGATCAAGGGCCCAGGCCACAACCAGCACGTCAGATGCCTCTAAGGGAGATTCGTGGTGCCAAAGTAGTTGGCGAAGATGGGACCTTGCAGGAGGGAGGGCCAGTCTATTATTATCAGCCCTTTACCACCAGTGGCATCTTGAATTGGAAACATCACACCCCAGCTTATTCTGAAAAACCTCAAGCCTTGATAGACCTCCTAGAAACAATCTTCCAGACCCAGAAGCCCACCTGGGTGGACTGCAAGCAGCTCCTTTTCACGTTCTTTAACACTGAGGAGCACATGAGAGTAGTATCAGAGGCTCGGAAGTGGCTCCAGACCCAGGCCCCAGCAGGAATATTAGATACAGACAGATGGGCCAGGAAGGCCTTCCCAGATGAGGAACTCGATTGGAACCCAAACTCAGAAGATGGAAGGACTGGGCTAGAAAGGTATCAGCTGGCCTTCCTCCAGGGGGTCAGGGCCAAAGCCAAGAAGCCCCCCAACATGGCTAAAGTCTCTGAGGTTTTCCAGAGCCTGACGAAAGTCCAGCAGCTTTCCATGAGAGACTGTGTGAGGCATACCGGATCTACACCCCCTTTAGACCTGAGACCCCGGAAAATCAAACCATGGTAAATGCTGCTTTTGTAGGCCAAGCCAAGCCTGACATCAGGAGAAAATTACAGAAACTGTAAGGGTTTACAGAAAAGAATGCTACTGAACTGCTGGAGATAGCCAACAAGGTTTTCATCAACCGAGACAGTGCAGCAAGGAAGGAGGAAGAAAAGAGAATACAGAGAAGGGCCAATATAATAGCAGCGGCTTTTAGAGGCTCAGGCTCCCAGACAGATCAGCAAGGATACAGACCAGGAAAACCAAGATGGCGGCATAGGTTAATACCGGAGTTTGCTGCCTCGAACAACCACTTCAAAAATACAACTAAAAGACGGAACGGACATCATCCAGAACCACAGGAAGACTGGCTGAGTGGAAGTTCTACAACTAGGAGGAACCGAGAATCAGAGGAGTCGCAGTGCTGAAGTAAAATACTAAGGTGCAGAGTGCGCGCAGCGCGGGCTGGTGGCTGAGGGTGCGGTTGTCTGTTTCAATCCGGAGGGAGCCTCAGACTCTGAGCTCCAGATCTGGGCGAGTCTCTAGGGACCCAGACTCAAACGGGAGAAGTGGGACTGTCTGGCTTCGGTCCCTCCGAGGTTTGCAGTGGTTGCTGAGACAGAGAGGCAGAGCCCCCTGGGGACTGACTGAGAGCAGCCATAACTGCTCCCTCCTCCGCACGGTTGATCCTGTGGGACCCGCCCCGCCCAAGCCCTGCACAGAGCCATTTGCCGGATAGCCTCAGGCAAAGGCTAGATTAGCACCTCCCTAGAGGACAGAAGTTCTCCCACTGCAAACACAGCTGATTCTCACAGCCAGTTGGCCTGGAGGTCAAGTAGTAATTACCTACAACAATCAAGGCTTGACTACAACAAGACTGCTCACAGAGACCACAAGGGGGTGCACCAAGAGTGTCTACCTCAGGTAATTGGGACACTTAACAAGGAAAGCCACTCTATCAACACAGCGAAGCATAAAAAAATGCCGAAACAACGAAACAGGCCACAAAGGACAGAACCGGAGGAAAGCAGGCTACTGGATATAGAATTCAAAACCACACTTTTGAGGTCTCTCAAGAGGCTTCTAGAGTCTGTCGATAAACTTGATGAGATGTACAGGAAATCTAATGAGACCCTCGATGGTGTGATAAAGGACCAACTAGAAAGTAAGCATACACTGACTGAAATAAAGAATATTATACAGACTCCCAACAGCAGACCAGAGGAGCGCAATAATCAAGTTAAAGATTTGAAATACAAAGAAGCAAAAAACACCCAACTGGAAAAGCAAAATGAAAAAAGAATCCAAAAATACGAAGATAGTGTAAGGAGCCTCTGAAACAGCTACAAGCGTACCAACATCAGAATTATAGGGGTGCCAGAAGATGAGAGAGAGCAAGATATTGAAAACCTCTTTGAAGAAATAATGACAGAAAACTTCCCCTACTTGGTGAAAGGAATAGACTTACAAGTCCAGGAAGCACAGAGGACCCCAAACAAAAGGAATCCAAAGAGGACCACACCAAGGCACATCATCATTAAAATGCCAAGAGCAAAAGACAAAGAGAGAATCTTAAAAGCAGCAAGAGAAAGAAAGTCAGTTACCTACAAGGGAATACCCATACGACTGTCAGCTGATTTCTCAACAGAAACTTTGCAGGCCAGAAGGGAGTGGCAAGAAATATTCAAAGTGATGTATACCGAGAACCTACAACCAAGACTACTTTATCCAGCAAAGCTATCATTCAGAATTGAAGGTCAGATAAAGAGCTTCACAGATAAGGAAAAGCTAAAGGAGTTCACCACCACCAAACCAGTATTATATGAAATGCTGAAAGGTATCCTTTAAGAAGAGGGAGAAGAAGAAAAAGGTAAAGATGCAAATTATGAACAACAAATACGCATCTATCAACAAGTGAATCTAAGAATCAAGTGAATAAATAATCTGATGAACAGAATGAACTGGTGTTTATAATAGAATCAGGGACATAGAGAGGGAATGGACTGACTATGCTTGGGGGGGAAGGGGGTGTGGGAGATGCGGGAAGAGACTGGACAAAAATCATGCACCTATGGATGAGGACAGTGGGTAGGGAGTGAGGGCGGAAGGTGGGGTGGGAACTGGGAGGAGGGGAGTTATGGGGGGGGGGGAAGAGGGACAAATGTAATAATCTGAACAATAAAGATTTAATTATTAAAAAAAAAAGGATACAGACCAGGGGGAAAAGGAAGAGTGAGCCTGAGATGAGACCAGTGTGCCTGTTGTAAGGAAACAGGACACTGGAAGAATGAATGCCTCAAATGACAAGGTAAGAAGACTGGTCCCCATTTTCCACCCAGTTGCTATCAACCAGAGCCACCTGAAGCAGATCTCATTGGGCTAGCAATGGCTGATTTCGACTAGGACAGACCAGGCTCACTTCAGCTAGGCCCCCATGAGCCCATGGTCCGAATGAAAATTGGGGGCCAGACTGGACTTTATGGTTGATATGGGAGCTGAGCACTCAGCAGTCACTCAGAAAGTAGCGCCTCTCTCAGGAAAGGAGGTCACCATTATTGGAGCTACTGGGGACCAGACCCGTACACCATTCTGCCGTCCCCGCCAATGCCAACTTGGTGGTCACCAAGTAATTCATGAATTCCTGTACTTGCCAGACTGTCCAGTGCCTCTAATGGGTAGAGGCCTTTTAGCCAAAATGGGGCAGAAATCACTTTTGCTCCAGACGGCTCAGCACAGCTTCGCCTAAGTGAGGAGACCTCCCCAATGATCCTGTCCTTAGCAGTGCCGAGGGAGGAAGAATGGAGACTTTATACCCCCAGACAAAGGCCTCACCATTAGAACCTGAATTAGAGAAGGAATTCCCGCTGGTCTGGGCAGAAGGGAATCCTCCAGGCCTGGCTAAGGACCACGACCCAGCACAGCCTGTTAAAATCCGCCAATATCCAATTCCAAGGGAAGCACGCCTAGGAATCCAGGTCCACTTAGACGGGCTGCTTCATACCGCCGGGAGCAGGATCTACAGGCTGTTAATGAGGCTGTTATAACCCTGCATTCAGCACTGCCGAACTCCTACACTCTTCTGGGACTTTGGATCCCAGGGCTTTCAGACCTGGCCAAGCCTCTCTATGAAGCTTTAAGAGGAGAAGAGAAGGCACCCATCAGCTGGGGTCCCGAACAGGAGAAAGCCTTTGTCACCATAAAGGTAAAGCTCACTGAGGCCCTGGCTCTGGGGCTACCAGATGTGAATTGAGACTTTAATCCAGTGGTTCTCAACCTTCCTAATGCCGCGACTCTTTAATACAGTTCCTTGTGTTGTGGTGACCCCCAACCATAAAATTATTTTCGTTGCTACTTCATAACTGTAATGTTGCTACTGTTATGAATCATAATGTAAATATCCGATATGCAGGATGTATTTTCATTGTTACAAATTGAACATAATTAAAGCATAGTGATTCATCACAAAAACAATATGTAATTATATATGTTTTCCGATGGTCTTAGGCGACCCCTGTGAAAGGGTCGTTCGAGCCCCAAAGGGATCGTGACCCACAGGTTGAGAACCGCTGCTTTAATCATTTTGTTCACGAGAACAGCAGGGTAGCCCTAGAAGTTCTAACCCAGGAGTTTGGACCCTGGCAAAGCCCAGTAGCCTATCTCTCCAAGCATATTGACCCAGTTGCCTCTGGGTGGCCCCCGTGCCTCAGGGCCCTTGCAGCCACAGCATTATTAGTCAAGGAAGCAGAGAAGCTTAGGACAAAACTTAAATGTAAAGGTACCTCATGCTATTGTCACCCTGATGGAAGCAAGGGGGCAGCACTGGCTGACTCATGCTCGAATGACTCAGTATCAAGGGCTGTTATGTGAGAATCCCCTGGTACGATTAGAAGCAGTGAGAACTCTTAATCCTGCCACCTTTCTACACGTTGCTGAGGGGGCCCCTGAGCATGATTCCCTGGAAGTCCTGGAGGAGGTTTATTCGGCCAGGCCCAAGGGATAGGCCCCTATAAAACGCGGACTTGGTATTGTTCACAGACGGCAGCAGCTTCTTAGATGAAGGAAAAAGACGAGCTGGATATGCAGGGGTATCAAACTTTGAGACAATTGAAGCACAGGCCCTGCCTGAAGGATGGTCAGCACAGAGGGCAGAACTTTGGGCCCTAGAACTCAGTAAGAATAAGCGTGCCAACATCTACACTGACTCACGCTATGCCTTTGCTACCCTGCATGTCCATGGGGCCATATATAAGGAAAGGGGGCTCTTGACAACAGGAGGAAAAGGAATAAAAAATTAGAATGAGATATTAAAGTTATTAGAAGCAGTCTGGGAGCCTAAGGAAATAGCCGTCATCCATTGCAAAGGTCACCAGAAAGGGAAAGACTCAGTGTCAGAAGGAAACCAGTGTGTGACACTGCAGCCAAGCTGGCTGCTAAAGAACAAGCAGCACCAGCACAGATCATGTTGGCCCCCGAATTACCTGAACCTCCAAAATACACTCCTCGGGAAGAGAAATGGTCCCAGCATGAAGGGGGCAAGAGAACAAAGGAAGGCTGGTGGATACTCCCAGATCATAGGGTCTAATTCCCAGAACAGTTAGCCCATAAGGTAGTCCTCCAGCAGCATGAACTCACTCATTTAGGAAAGGCTGCCCTAGAAGCTTTGTTAGGCAGGTACTACCTAATTGCCCGTCTTCCCTCCTTGTGTGCCTCAGTCTCTCAGCGTTGCCGCCTCTGTGCTCAGAACAATGCTAAACAGGGTCCTGTGGGACCGATAGGAGTTCAGTGCTGTGGACAAGCTCCTTTGAGGACTTAGAAGTAGATTTTACAGAAATAGGGCCTAGCAGAGGGAATAAATACCTGCTAGTCTTTGTTTGCACCTTTTCAGGTTGGGTTGAGGCATATCCCACTGGCACGGAAAAGGTGAGAGAAGTCACTAAGGCATTGCTGAAGGATATAATTCCATGGTATGGAATGCCTCTGATCATAGGGTCCGATAATAGCCCAGCCTTTGTAGCAGAAATAGTACAATAGGTAGCCAAGGCTTTAGGAATTAAATGGGATCTACATACAGCTCACAGGCCTCAGAGTTTAGGGAAAGTGGAGCACATGAACCTCACTCTAAAGCAGGCTATGGCTAAGCTATGCCAAGAGACAACCTTACCCTGGACAGATATCTTGTCTCTTGTAGTCCTGTGGGTACGCTGTGCCCCAAGGGCCAGGGTAGGTTTCTCTCCTTTTGAAATTCTATATGGTGGATCCCTTCCCTTAATTTGGCCAAAGGGAGATTTGAGGGAAACAGGGAACTTAGAAATCCAGAAACAACTACAAGGACTTGGAAAAATTGTCTTTGAGGTCCACAGGTGAGTTATTGGCCGACTACCCATCTCCCTAGGAACAGCTGTACATCCTCATAAACCTGGAGACCAGGTTTGGGTAAAGGATTGGAAAAAGGAGCCCCTCAAGCCTACTTGGAAGGGACACTATCCAGCCATATTAACCATCCCCATAGCTCTTAAGGTTGCAGGACTAAACACCTGGATCCACCACTGCCCGGTGAAGGCAGCCCACCAGCCGAGTGACATCCAGTCTGAGTGGAAGGTGACCTCTGACCAGAAACACCCCCTGCTGATCACCCTCAAGAAGACAGCAGACCTGGAGCAACCTGCTCCAAGAAATTCAGATAACACCCTGCTGAATTCTCCCTAACACTAATCTTTCTTTCTTATCTCCTCCTAAGGTAATAGGCTCTAGTATTTCTGGATAATCACTGGTTTTATCTAATAATTCTTATTTTGTCTTTTTATGAGTGCCAGCGGAATCCGAGACTAGTACCAGGAGGAGAACTTATCTGCTCTTTTTTTTGGGTCCTCATAAAATAGCATTCTTTATTATGCCAATAACTCAGAAATGTAGGTCAAGTAAATACAAGTGGTGTGTGAAATGAAGCATTAAGAGTTAATAGGGCTACTGACCAAATAGTCAAACATTGTTCATGGGATTATGATGGCCCAGAGGAGCCACCTTACCTTCAGCATGAAGCCTTTCTTCTCTTTTACAGCAAATATTCTGAGGGAGGTGGAGGAGAGAGGGTGTGTGTGTGTGTGTGTGTGTGTGTGTGTGTGTGTGTGTGTGGTGTGTTTTAGAGGGAGCCCACCACTTGCCATATCTAGTTTCATTGGTGTAATACAGTTGTTTTTCTTAAGTCATTCTAAAATAGTAGCCTATGAAAGCAGTGCAAGTAATTAGAGCATTTGCTACACACTGTGGGTTACCAGAGCCTTTAAGAAATACCATGAATATTCCATACTTATAAATAGGTGGAATCAATACACAGTGAAACCTCAAAAACTCAGGCCACGTTAGTGGAGAATTTGGGGTTTATTAAACATAGGTATGACTGAATTTTCTTTTGCATTCCCTGTGGGAGGAACAAAAACATTTGTTAAGCAATTTAACAAGACCATTTACTTTTCTTAAAGAATATAGTCATGAGCCACATAACATGTTTGCCAGCGAAGGACCACATATGTGATGGTGGTCCCCTAAGATGGCAATGGAGCTGAAAAATTCCTATTGCCTAGTGACCTCGTAAATAACACTATGTCCTAGTGCAACACATTAGTCATGTGGTTTTGGTGACACTAGTGTAACAAACCTACTGCACTGCCAATCATATGAAAGTATAGCGCATGCAGTTATATACAGTACAGAATACTTGATAGTGATAATACGTGACTATGTTACTGGTGTGTGTGTTTACTATACTATACTATACTTTCTTTTTTATTTATTTTTATTTTATTAAAATTTATTTTTCCTTTATTGATTAAGATATTACAAATGTGTCCTTATCCCACCAATGCCCCTTCATCCCCCCAATCCTGCCCTCACCCTCACCCTCTGCTGTCCAAATCCATCGCTTATGCTTATATGCATGCATACAAGTCCTTTGGTTGATCTCTCCTCCTCACCCCCACCCTCCCCTACCTTTCCTCTGAGTTTTGCGCATCTGATCGATGCTTCTCTGCCTCTACATCTGTTTTTGTTGATCGGTTTATGTTGTTCATTATAATCCACAAATGAATGAGAGCATGTGATATTTATCTTTCACTGACTGACTTATTTCACTTAGCATAATGCTCTCCAGCTCCATCCATGCTGTTGCAAATGGTAGAAGTTCCTTCCTTTTTACAGCAGTGTAGTATTCCATTGTGTAGGTGTACCACAGTTTTTTAATCCATTCATCTGCTGATGGCCACTTAGGCTGATTCCAAATCTTAGCTATTGTAAATTGTGCTGCTATGAACATAGGGGTGCATATATCCTTTCTGATTGGTGTTTCTGGTTTCTTGGGATATATTCCTAGAAGTGGGACCACTGGGTCAAATGGAAGTTCCATTTTTAGTTTTTTGAGGAAACTCCATACTGTCTTCCATAGTGGCTGCACCAGTTTGCATTCCCATCAGCAGTGAATGAGGGTTCTTTTTTCTCCACATCCTCTCCAGCACTTCTTGTTTGTAGATTTGTTGATGATAGCCATTTTGACAGGTGTAAGATGGTACCTCATTGTTGTTTTGATTTGCATCTCTCAGATGATTAGTGACTCTGAGCATGTTTTCATATGTCTCTCGGCCTTATGTATGTCCTCTTTCAAAAAGTGTCTATTTAGGTCCGTTGGCCATTTTTTGATTGGGTTGTTTATCTTCCTTTTAAGTTGTATGAGTTCCTTGTAAATGTTGGAGATTAAACCTTTATCAGAGATATCATTGGCAAATATGTTCTCTCATGCAGTGGATTTTCTTGTTGTTTTGTTGATGGTTTCTTTTGCTGTGCAGAAGCCTTTTATTTTGATATAGTCCCATTTGTTTATTTTCACTGCCCTAGGACAGTGATGTCAAACCTTTTGAGCTCGGTGTGTCAGCATTTTGAAAAACCCTAACTTAACTCTGGTGCCGTGTCACATATAGAAATTTTTTGATATTTGTAACCATAGTAAAACAAAGATTTATATTTTTGATATTTATTTTATACTAGAGGCCAGGTGCACAAAAATTTGTGCACTGGTGGTGGTGGGGTGGTGGTGTCCCTCAGCCCCACTTGTGCCCTCTCACAGTCTGGGACCCCTCAGGAGATAATGACCTACTGGCTTAGGCACGCTCCCGGATGGCAGAGGGCAGGCCCAATCCCTAGGTGCCTGCCCCGCAGCCCCTGGTCGGGCTCAGAGCAGGGCTGATTGGGGAGTTGGGGCGC